AAGAGATATTTTATTCTTTGCCGAACACTTGTAACATTTTCATTCTAAGTAAATAATATTTCTCACAATGAATAGGTTTGTTCCGCTTTCGTCATGCGACAGATTCTATTCATTCCGGATTCTTCGACTGATTTAAATGGTAGCTCAGATTTCCCCGGGTTTAATTTAAGCGGATTTGTGGTGTCTATGGGGCAATTGGCAACAAAAAATCTCTGTTTGTTTGATATAGGAGTGGTGTTTGCCAATCGCAAATGACGACCAACGGGTTACGGCAATCACCGTAACACACCAATGACCACGTCGATAGAAGTAATCGATTGCTTCACCGAACCAATGCTGCATAATGAAAATGGAAGTTTTTCCGAAGGACGGTCCCGAACTAATTAAATCAATTAAAAAACGCGAACAGAACTCCACTGTCATGGACTATTGACTATAAATACTCGTAATTCGTTATATCGAGTAATATTATATTAAGATATCCTTACATAGGGTATTAAAAACTATTTAGTTTAAGTTAATGTTTAATTAAAAATCCCCTATTATGATCAATTCCTCACTGTATAGTATGTTGCTGTAACTGTTTCTACTGTTATTTTGTTTCAATTGTTGTGTTTGCATACTAGCTTTATACCCGTATGATAACTAAATAAACAAATATTAGACTGACACATGATAGAATGCAACTTCGAGGATCCCCGTGGACTGCATGAAACATGAATAAAGACGCACTGATACATCTTATCCAATAATACACGTGAACATGACGTAACCTATACTCATCCGAATATCGCGATACTATCGAATGGAAGAACCTTGAAGTGAACGAACAGAAACATATGGTCAGTTTATCACCTGATCGTAGATTGTTTATAAAACGTAATCTCTCATAAAGATTACACTCATCGAAGCTACACTGTTAAATCATTATTACACCGCGGGTCTTAATTCAAAGTTCCGTTTCTAAAAGTAACTCCTACAACCAGAACGAAAAACAAAAGTATCTTCGTTCTCTAATTAATTTTTATTAGATAAAAAACAAAAGAAAAAGTTTCGTAAGTTGGATTTTATTCGATTTGATTTTAACACTAGAACCACCTGACCCGTCAAACTGACGGATTGAAGATTTCGTGTTTTACGGTTACTGAAATTATAATAGGGGTCTTCGCGGAATTTACGTTGACTTTCAACTAACTATGCGCTTTAAAGTGTACATTATGCTAAATTGTAGTATATCTCTGGTCGACGAGCAACAGAGTATAAGTCAGAATTATTAGTTTTACAAAGAAGCACTTATAATATTAACTGTCGTATTAAATATTACATGTGCTTCCCTGCAAAACTAATAATACTAACTCATACTATTTTGCCCGCCCACCAGAGATACATTACGTATATTACTATATTATACAATTTAATTTCGCATACATTCAATGCTGGTGATTCTAATATTAAGCAGTCCACTCTGCAATAAATGCAATGCATAACGACCGCGGTCCAATCGTTATCACTAAAACTGTCACCAGTTACATAACACCTATTCAAAATGACCTTGATTCAATAAAAATAAACGTCTGATATCCTCCAACGGTTTCACATATACATTAAAAAAAAAAAGCGTCAAATTCCAAAAGGGTCACTCGTCTTACCCAGTCAACAGAATCACGAAGCGGACTTTGTCGGACAGAGACGAGTGGATATGTCGCAACTGGCTCGAATTCGATCGTGGCCGAGACCAGGGCCAAGTCCGTTGTTACGCGCTAAACAAAAGAAAATAAAAGAAAAGGTACAACCCCGAGATGTCGAGGAACTTTCGTCGGTTATCGATCGATTAACGCTTTCTTCGCTTCCTACCGTTCCGTATAGAAGCGTAAATAACACACACAAGCACACACCCACACGCATACCGTTGTATAAGTAGATCCGCCGCGAAGAGGAGGGCCGACCTTGGCATATCAAATGCTGGAAACGTAGAATGGGCACGTGAAACGTCGACCGTTTGTTCCTTCCTCGCGACGATACATTATTCGCGGGCAGCGACGACGGTTTCGCCGGGGCAAGGTTGCCGGGGGACCAAGAAACGGTGGACGGACAAAGGTGTATAACGGTGCGACTCGTCGGTGGAACTCGATAAAAGTCGGCCCCGAGATGCACGGAACACACTGCGTCAGCGCCTCGTTCGATACGCTTTAGGGTATGTTTATGTTGGAGCTGCGATAAACGATCGGGTTGCGGCGATAAGAGTAAAATATAGAAATACAATCTATTGTTTTATAATGGAACTGTTTTACATTGGACCAGCGAGCAGAGCTAATGTTCACAGATGATGAACGATAAAAGCGACGAGAAATAAATATTACTTTTTTTTTTTATTGTCATCGCCGTTTTCTTCATTGGTAAACAACCAAATTAAAACAATGTTCCCATCATCCTCCGTCATTTTAACTGAACAGAACATTCAGAATATATTTTAAATCTAGAATGTATTGCCACCATATTAGAATTATAATTATACACGGTGCCACTGAAGTACATCCGCTCTCAAATATGAACAAATTTTTACAATTTGACAACTCTGTAACGGAAGACTTTACCTTGGGCACCGAGTTAAATAAAATCGAACAAAGAGATCAAAAAGTGGAAAATTTGCATTTCATTTAAACAAATTCATTAATGCCCGAGTGAGGCTATACTTTTTGCCAAAAGTGTATTTCTTACATTTCATCGGTAAATGTGTAACGTATTGTCATCACTGGCGACATCAGCAACTTATCAGCACGTATTATGCACCGTAAAATACAACGGAAACAGAAAATGTCAGAATTTACTTAGGTATCGGGTAGACAAGAGTTTGCAATTAGCAGAAATGTGGGTGATCAGCATACGAGCAGTGTATGTGACCAACATACATTCGACAAACGATCGTCGTCTAATCGACGAAACGCTCATGCCAAGAATCTCATTGCCATTGAGGAGAGCATTGACGATATGATGTTGCAGATAAGCGGACGCATTCATATTTGCAACATCTATAATAATGTGAATATGTGTCGATATCGAGTTGATGTTGTTTATGTACCACGCTGTTAACCCTTAAGTAGTCGTATTCAGAAAATCACATAAATGGTCGCATGGGGTCTCAGGGTATCCCAATTTAGTATTAAGTTTTTGTTCACTCTTTGCTTATGAAGTGAAACGTTGGACCATTAAAGTTAGAGGGCTCTGCGATCCAAAATAAATAACAAAGCTTTCACTGAATGCAATGAATTCTCTATTATTTTCTTAACCCAATAAGATACTTAATAGAAGTAACTCCTACTTTTGTACCTTGTCTTTATGAATCACATTAGAATGTTACGTCTCTATTATAAAAAATCCGTAATCTACTAATCATTAAATGATTCATATCTTTAGGAATAATTTTATCTCTGGGAACCTTGTTACGTATAAGGAGGACGTAGTATATTTGGGGAATAAGGGTACGGAATGTAATGGAATCACCGAAAGACACGGGAATTATTGTTTAATAAATTATCATCTGTATCTACAAGCTGTACGAGGTATCTCGAGATAAGCATCGGGACAAGATAATTGAAACAATGTTATTCTTATTTGTCCTTCCTCTCGAGGCCGTTTTAAGGCCACTTCGAGGGGTTTTTTAATAGAATGACAACAAGCTTTATTATCTCAGAACAGTTGGATAAGTGACAGTCAATTCGAATATGAAACGAAATATAGGTGAACTATAGATTCCTATATATATATATTCTTTTTGTACCTTCGATCGACCGCAAAATGTGTAGCTCGAAGTGACCTCGAGGCGACTTTGGAAACATAAGAACAGTTTGTGTGTCAGTCTTATTCTCGGATATCCTCTTCTTTATCTAATATCGGAAAAGAGGCGCCGTTCCGTCTCATCGTACCCTCCTATTGTTTAGCTATTATATCACGTGATAATTTTTGCGGCACGGCTTTTGTCGCGTGATCACGGCACCTTAACGGTGGAATCGCAGCCGCTTGTTTTTGTACTTCTGAAAAGCGTTTGTAGTTTAGTTTTATAATCACCCAACACTCTTCGGTCGTGTACCGTGTAATCGTCTATTATCGTTTCTATTTCGGAATCAGGAAAACCGTGTTTCCCTCGAAATTGCATGCGATTAAAGTGTTTTGTGGAAACTTATTTAACGGGCATGCTGATGTTCAAGTAGCACGGTAAATGTATACATTTATTAAAAAATGACCTGATGAATATTACATTTTGTTTTTACGTGTCCCTACTACGAATGGTTAATTCTTGTGCTATACAGTGTGTAGGCCAACCTGACCATCTCAAGTATATTAGCTGTTTCCAGTGATACAAGACAATAGTTACGGAAGACGTAGCAGAGTTTTATAGGTCAAATATAATGGTTGAGAAAACAATTAGATCAAAATGAAATGCTTATAAATTTTTAAGTAATTGTTCTATTATATTCATGCCACTCTCTTGCATTATTTTACTACTTTAAGGTCATTTAAGGGATTTGTTGTTATAGAATGTTGAACTTGTATTGAAATTAAAAATACGTGGATTTATTTGCAAAAGACACCAATGACCTTAAACTAAACGAATACTCAACCATGATCTACTGTTTCGTGAATCATTGTACTAGAGGTCATAAACCTTACAACATATCCCATAACTATCTTCCTGTACGATTAATAACAACAGAGATAATTTAGGTGGTCACCACAGTTGGGACACCCTGTTCATAGACAATTTAGAAGCAATCAATTTTTTCAATACACCTCCATTACAAATTTGTATACTTAAAAACTGCCAATTTTATTCATTGTAATGCATCTCACTCGTCCTAATTGTTCCGATAATCTTTTCGATCCACTCGGTTAACAAGCATATGTATCAACCACACAGACCTCAAGATAAGTGTATACATTTACCAACGAATAAGTTTATATAACACGGTCTAAGATATCGAAGAAAAAAGGGTAATACTTACTGCCTCGTGGACCGTAGAATTTGACGGAAAATTCGTTTAATCCTCCTAGTATCGTCACCTCATGCTTGCTTTCTATTCTGTTTGCGTGTATGAGTTAAGGAAGATATGAGTCTGCAAGAAATCTCACGAAGACATTTGTCTTTGAGCACACAGAGATAAGCAACATTGTCTGAATAAAGTAATTCAAGTAGAAAATATTTACAATGTACATATTTCGTCGATGGAAATAAATTCGAGAGATTGCAGAAAAGTTGAAGATATATTCTCCATTAGATTCCCTTATGAAAAATGAAACAAATTTTACATCAACAACTTCTGTGCATCTCCAAAACTAGAGGCAGAATTTCGTATATACAACTTAAACTGGACATATCGTATAGGAACACTCGTTAGCATTATTACATCAATTAGTGCACCAATTTAACATATTTTCCCGATTCAACTTAATTCAAGAATAAAATAATAGCGTTTTCAACCAATGTTAAATACAACGGCCATTACTTTTGCATACACCTATCGGGTCAATATTCCATTTTAAATGAACGAAAGCTTATTTGTATTATTAAAATCATTCGAATTAACCCTCGGAATACGAATGGGTTGCCCGTGACCCACAAAAAAATCTCAGACACATGATAAATCGTCATTGTTAGAATGTATTGACAAGTTATTTTGACTTGCGTGGTAGTTCTAGTGTTAATGAACCAAATTTTGAGGTATTTTTCATAGCTACAATTAATTCACGAGTACATCGAGTCGCTGGAAACGGTGCAATGCACCAATACCGTACCAGAAGGGTTAAGGGGTGACTTGCGCGCGATCATCAAATAAGAAGCGAAAACATCGAGCGCAAATATTTAACGACGCCGGTGAAAACGGTACAATGAACCGTGGCGAAACCAATGGCGCGGTGGGAAACCGTGAACCAGGAATCGTGTCAGAAGTCTGCTGTAACATTATTTTTCTCGATCAATGCCGACCACGCGGCGCGGAGGGCTCGCGTGACCAAACGAAATCGTAACGCCTCCGTGGTGCTGCGGCGACGTAACGTGAAATCAAAGATTTTCGGGAACGAACCGGTGATCAATGTGTCCATCCACCTTCGAATTTGTAAGCAGCGCTCTTTTCTTACACAAGTTGATTTCCATTGATGAATGTCAATTGGAACGAGAACATTCCAATTAAGTTGAATATAAGAAAAGAACATTTTTGAATCAAAAAAGAGTTCTGCAATTGGGTTAAATGATCAAATTCGTTTGTAGGTAAATTGTTTGATGAATTAGGACAGAGGATCAACTCTTTCGCTCCGAATGCCAGCATCTGTGAGGTTTAAGCCATTGACAGTTTTACCCAAGTGAGACTCAGGCACGACGCATTTATCATATACGACCTAGTTATTAAAAAGAAACGCATAAAATATGTTTTTTTAGTACTCGCATATATTCGGATACTCAGATCTCAATCGAGTGGATATCAGAGTACTCAAGCTCAGGTACCCGTAGATTTGAGCAACAATAAGAGCCCTGGTGTTTACTCGCGATTTTCCTCCCGAAACTGATCTAGCGGAATGATTCCGCGGAGGAGACCGCGCGGTTGAACGGGGTCGGAAACCGGGGAGTAGGTACGAAAACAAGCAACGGGAATCAGAACAGAGCTGAAGAACGGAACAACCGAGTGCCTAGCTTTGGAGAAAGTTCACTGAACAATATTCCGCCGAGGCTCTCATCACATTCGGGGAGAGTAAGGATAAAATACACTGGTAGGGAGAATTCCGCCCGTTTCTCTTTGTTCCCGGGGAATTTATTCGGAAGAGGGAAAACATTGGGTCGGTCGCTTGGAGACTTCAATTTTGAAGTTTCTTCCTAATGAGAAAAATCTTGCGATTGATTCAGCTACACAGAGTTATATCGAGAAACTGAACCGTTTATTATCAGAGTGGTGCAAGTCTAATTTCGAGAAAATTGATAATACAATTGGTATGGTCACGAATAAGTTGTAAATAAATAACTTTTAATTTTACTAATATTCAGTATTTGTCTGGGTTATTTTATGTTATTTCAGTTACACAAAAAATCGGGAAGGTACTGTGAATTTAATGTGTAATTTCACCTAATTATTTTTCACCATCTATTAGATAGCGGCATTAATTCTGTCCTTCAGCATAAGAAACTATACGCAACCGAACTGTTTACAGAACTATAGAAAAACAAATTGATAAATATAGAGATAAAAAATAAGTCGAAAATATAGGATTTCATTTTTCTATTTCAGACTTCATTTTCGAGAAAATCGACTTTGAAAATCTGCTGGATACGCGTGCAATTCAATAGGATTTCCTTAGAGTGTCTGTTCATTGCATTCCGTTTCTACTTACTACCATGATGAATACACGCATTTCAAATTAAATTTTGAAGCCGTATTACTCGAAAACGAAGTCTCAAATGAAAAAATATTTATTCTATATTTTCGACTTATTTTTTCACGTGGAATATCCCCCTACCCGGTTACACCATCAGTTACAGGACACTCTGTATAGTATATTGATGAAGAAAATGAAAAATTTTTATATCCTTAAGTTCCTGTCTAATCTATATTCACGAAATTCTTGCAGCTAATTAGTGCACTACTCAGAAGAATTAGAGGATCCCTAATATCGGCAGTCCTGTTGCACCCATCAAGCGAAGGAAACGAAACAAGTGTTACAGGTTTTCTAAATTAATATCTTTTCCGTGCAATACTAACACCATTAACACCTAGTTATTCTTGTATAAGAAACATTTCAAAAATTGATGTAACAATATCCAAAAACAGCCCCTTATACCAAATTGATTCAAGATCTCACATTTTAACAGTGAATTCAAATTCTTTGAATCAGAAGGTAATCGATATAAATTCTGTCCCACGTCACGCATTTTATACCGCAAGAAGTTTCGAAACTTTCGGAGAGATACGATCAAACCCCTCTTCGTCGTTCTAAATTCAACATCCAGAAAATGGTCGCCCCGGGTAAGACCAAAAGTCGTCGATTTTTCCTAACGCGTATCGTCTCTCTCTTTTTCTCTCTCTCCGTTCTCCCGCGAATCGTTGAAAAGTAAAATCGAATTACGCCGATGTGTGTCATGTTATTCAACGGTACGGTAAACCACTTTCTTGTTTTGGCAAGCGGTTACACGCGAGCCGAGGCGTTACGGAGCACTCACTCACTCGGCCGGAGCAGTTCCGCGGATTCGTTAAGCTTGATCCCCACTGTGCTCACGGACACACATCACTTTTCAAATTTTCTGTAATTTTTTGAAATGCATTGCTTTAAAAGTACCATCATTACCATTGAGAATTCATATGCGTTCTTTCGATGGAGCATGGAGTAGCCGAGGCGAATCAGATCAAAACGATTAGTAATGATTAATAATTGATATGAGATGAGGTAATATGAATGATCGAAATGTTATAATATTGATCTCACTTTCAACAGTGAGAGGTCTACCTAATAGCGGTGCATCCTTCGCCAGTGAAATCTTCTGTTTGAAATTTTTCAAGCCATTTTTAACACGTACAATCACTCGCAGCATTGTTTCCGTACACCGCAAAAATCTGTTTTTGTGTTTAGGGGTGGCAATTTTACGCTGTCGAAAGTAATAAACCATTAGGTGCCAGGAAATGCACTTTCCGGTATTCCATTTTTCAAATCAATCGCAAACAAGTTTCATTATCCCAATGTTTACGATTTTTTTATTAACTAAAGAGAAAAGTTCAGAGAACATAATGATTATATAATTTGAACATTGTAATGCGGTAGGTAGTACAAAGGATCAAACGCTCCCATTTGTCAATAGAAAACTGAACGAACTTTGAGTTGAACCCAACAATATGATTGGGTCTACGAGTGATGCGCACTAGAGGGTATGTAACCGTGTGTACAACCAAGAGAGTAAAGAGTTATCACTAGACTGCATTTGTTAATGCAAATTTAGAATTTTCGATACAGATAAATGAAAAACAAAATTGACTAGAATTCTTTTTCCCTGTACTAGAGATTTCAATATGTTCATAAGAATACGTAGATATTAATAAATTTTACTATAATCCTTATTTTCCTACATTTTCCACATGCTATAAATGCATAAACATCAGCAGTCTAGTAACCACTTTGTGTATCCAAAGTACATTTTACAGTTCCCTATCCACTATTATTTAATTTACCAAATATAGAACACTCGATCGCCAGTGGATATCAAATTTAACACGGAAAATCAATTTCCATAACACTCGATCCCGATCCACCCAGCTGAATTTCGTGCAGCAATGGCGTAGACTTCGTGCAAACAGGGAATACTCTCGCAAACGCCTCGAAAAATAAAATCAGACGCGTGATTATGCGATACAAAGGGTTGAAATAATTTTACCGGTCGCAACCGCGCTTATACGTGGAAACAAATACGCTGCCTCGCGACCGGAAGTGTTACGGTTTCGACGTGTGCGCGAGAAATTCCATCGCCGGCTGCTTTCACGAGCAGCTCGCGGAAGCCGGAACGGACGTCTCGATTAACATACAAATTAACACAAAACGGACTGGTAGAAGTTCGTTTCATGGCCCGTGTGTGGTCGATCGAAAACACAGGTTGCGTAACGGGGCGACGTGTAGTAACGATACATATGCGACTCGATCCCGACGATCGGTGAACCTGTAACCCCTGGTTTTCCGTTGGTTCTCTCTTGTCGACGCAATTTTATTGTTTCTTACTACACTGGCCAAAATTTCTATAAAGTCACCATGTTTTTTGATGAATTCTTATAATTATTCCATACCAATGAAAAATTTCAGTTTGTATTTTCATTCAAAAACATGGAGGTTGCACTAAGTATTAATATAGAAATAGTGAAAATCAATTGTTAATTTCAACTTTACTTATGTGAAAAGAGAATGACTCTACAGAAATTTCGCAGTTTGTTTTCTGTTGAATATTTTTGTTTTTTTTTTTGTAAATAAATGTTATATTTATTTTTTGAAACCGACGTGTACGTTTTTCTTTAATTAATCCCCAAATGCTATCAAACCCAAATTTTTCATTGGTATGGA